TAAAAAATAAATTATTAATATTTTATATAAATATAATACATAAAACTTAATAGGTAAGTAAATTAATACTCTTTTACTAAGTAAAAATAAATTAACAATTTAAATTAAAAATTTTTGAAATAAAATTAACGTATAACTAAACAGACCCTATGAATAATGCTAGGCTAAGTGCATTTTCTTTTTAAAAAAATCCATAAAAAGCACTTGATCCAAAGAGGCCAAGTGGTCTTTTACCAACTTGAGGAGCGTCCATTTTCCTTTGAACGGATTTTAACCCGTCCATGATAAAATTGTTTAAAAAATTAAAAATAAAAAAAAGAGAGAGAAAAAGGTTGAGAGGTTGAATGTTTAATTAACTTCAACATGATTGGAGCTCAAAGAGGATGGTACTCAAACGATTGCTCAAACGATAAAGTTGAGGTGGTACACAGGTGGACCAACCCATTGATCGACACATCCCTGACCAATCATTTAGTCACCTTCTACTTTTTTTTTTTTTTTAATTTTTGGGCCAACGTCACCTGCTACTTCAGAGTCGCAAAATCGTCATTTTATGTTTGTTATTAGAAGATATTTTCTCAATTCTAGAATACTTCACCTATCTTAAAATTATTGTCATCTTTAATTTTCTTCATAAATTATCAATTTTATTTTTTTCCACAAATAAAAAATTTTAAGAGATAATAAAAAGTTTAAAGTATAAAAAATATTTATTTTATTAAAAAATAAAAATATAATTAATTTGACATAAATTTCAAGTAAAAAAATTACAATTATTTTAAAATAAAACGAATAAGGGTTACAATATTTTTATTCAAAATTTATTTTAAATTCATTATTATTCTTTAATATTTTAAATAGAAAATATTTTTCATATTAGATAATACATTAAAAATGTAATCTAATATATAAATTTATTAAAATATACTTAACAAAACCCTTTTTTATATTATTTCATTAATAATAATTTGATAATTTTACTATATAAATTGTATATAAGTGCGCATGTTCAAAAAAAAAATTGTATATAAGTGCAATCCCACCTAAAATTATAAAAAAATTTATTTCAAAAATTATATATATTTTTATTTTAACTCTATTCTTATTCATTTATTTTGACTTCATCTGACCATTGTTTTTTTTTTAAGAATAAATAAACATTTTACATAAGGCGGGCCTGCAATAAGGAGTTTGGAGGAGGAATGAGCCGTGGTAGGGAGTAAATTGTACGCGCTTTAGGGAGGGAGAGTGATAGAGTTGGAACATGGGAGCTTACAATAATTGTGAGCAATGAGCGTTGTCGGGGCGTGAAGGTACAATGTGACACGCACGACCGGTGAGGGTGTGTATGGGGACCACTGAGCACGTGTCCGGAGGCAAGACATGTTGGTTTACCGTTCACGTGAGTTTGACTGTTCAAGAGAGGCGCTCTGTTATGTTCCCACGCTTCCCCGCATTTCCCGCACCTCTTCCTCACCTCACGTGAATTCCACTCTCCCTTGTCCCTCTTTTCTCCCAGTTTTCCATAA